TATATATATATATAACAAGTTCATCGGCCTTTCCGCTGTGATCTCAGCCCGAAATGGTCCTGGCACGCAATGTCGGAAGCACGTTCCTAAAAGCGTAAAAAAACCAAATCAACAACAAACAAACCAAAAAAACACAACAAAATTTTGCGACGGAATTTTAACACTGAGAACAGGACAGATAAACGCATGGCGAAACTGTAGCTCGAGCAATGTCATTTCTGTCCTGTGTGGCAACCAACTCTCGATACAAACAAAACACATTATTTATTTTTTTTGGTTAGTGTTTAATGGCGCTTGCAACTGCATAAGGTCGTATGAGCGTGCGGGACTCAGCAAACATTTTCAGTTGGTGGAAATTTTGAATTTTGCCCGGGTGGCGGCCGAAGCCTACTCGTGTCGATTTTAGACCACCAAGGGATCTTTAACGTGCGCAACTTGCACACGGAACCTTCGAGATTTTTCGCCCTTGTCCGAGAAGGCTAAAACCCATTATTTTACACACTGCACACAACCCATAAAGCATTTTGACTTTTAAAATATGTACCTGTATCGTGTGTGGTGGTCTCCTGCTGAAGGGAAAGTTTACAAGACTAATGAGTAAAGATTCCTCTAACATTGGAAACACCATGTAGGGGCGCCACGTAAGCTCAGTGGGTATCATGATGGAATACAGAGCGAAGAACCCTGGTTCGAATCCTCAACTGGAGTGTTCTGAAATAGTGTTGCTTTAGTGAGTTTTTAAATCTCTCCACCCATTTGGATGGGTCCTGTCAAAGATGGACGCCAAATTTGGAGGTCTCGCCTCTTAAATAACTTCACTTGGTTGAAATGATGCAATATTATCAATAATAATATAGATAGTTCTGTAGGAGTACGTATTCTTAACATGTTTTAAATGTTAACACAATGAAATCAGAAAATTACACTCAGTCCCACAAGTTTATAATATACTGTTAAAAAGTTACGTTTTTTCTGTTTCAGACGTGTATAAACATTACGGTTTTTGTTGTTGTTTTTTTTTGGTTTAGTTTAGCTTCGTTTTGTTTTACATTTTCTAAAAAATTGAATTGAATTTATCCAATGAGAAAGTATATTTTCCGGCAAGTTTATTGTTTTGTTTGTTTTTGTTTTGTTTTTATTTTTGTCTATTTAAAGCAAAGCTCAAGAAGTTCTAGGTCTCTGACAAGACTGTTTGTCACAGAAGGAACGCGTCAAACACGTTACCTTCACGACTCCCAGCTCGATGCTGCGTGTGAAATGAGTCCACTGAGCAAACAAGTTGTATTTTTTAAAACGTGTTTCACAACTTGCACACAGCGACATTCTCAATGAATTACAATGCTGTTGATATTTTATATTCAAAAGTGTTTTTAACGGTACTTCACGCGTCAAGTAAACAGCATTCGCGTAAAGAATAATGATTTTAATCCTCCTCGTCCCATACAATGAAAAAAATATCGTCTATCAGTTGGACATAGATAACATTCTACGATTTTGCAAACATCGTTTCAAGCTGGGGGTTTTTTTTCCCTAAGTTACGAGACACATCGTCTTCAGAGCTGTCGCATTGAATAATGCTTAAATCCTTGTTATCCACTGACAGACGACATACAGCACCCGTGTGCCATCAATCAGTCTATATTATCTATCCACCCCCTGTCTTCTGGAATCAAAACACGTAGAACTCCAGACAAGATCCCCCCTCGCCCCCCCCCTC